TTGATCTCCCACATTTCATGTTCATAAATGCACTTAAAAAAGGCAAAGTTCTATGCAGCTCAGTTCTTCCCAAACCTGCCTTTTCTCTTTGAAGAAACAGACAGCAGAAGGAAAAACATATTACATAATATTACATAGCAACATAGCAAGCAAGGTTCTAAAGACAAACCCAACATGTTCTACCTAGGGCCAGATTATTTATTACATTTTCTTCAGGAAAGTAAACTTCATTACATTTCCTGTATGTTGCTTCTCTTTCTGGAAAATACAACTAAGACAAAAACATGTAAAGATATATATATATATATATATATATATATATATATATATATATATATATATATACACACACACACGTATATATATATATGTACTATATTGCCAAAAGCATTGGGACACCTGCCTTTACACACACATGAACTTTAATGGCATCCCAGTCCTAGTTCGTAGGGTTCAATATTGAGTTGGCCCACCCTGGGAAGAGTTCCAGTGGCAGTGTGCTTTACACCACTGCATCCGACTCTTTACCTTGCACTTGGTGATGTAAGGAAATTTCACAGATGGACTTATTGCACTGGTGACAACCTATCACTGTACCACTTAAATTCACTGAGCTCCTGAAAGCACCCATTCTTTCACAAATGTCTTTATAAGCAGCCTAGGTGCTTGATTTTATACACCTGTAGCCATGAAGTTGATTGGAAGGCCTGAATCCAATGATTTGGAGGGGTGTCCCAATACTTTTGGCAATATAGTGTATATGTGTGTGTATGTATGTAATAAAAAAAATATACTGCTCAGCATTAAAAGAGACAGATGAGCAGTAGTAAATGTATTTCCAATACAGAAATCCTGAGTAAAATTTACAGTATTAATCAGGCTGAAAAACATTGAAGTAAACATCTACTTAGTTTTCCAATTTCACAAAAAATCCAATTTCATTTTAAATTACATTTTTGCTGCAACTATTTCATCCTGGAGCAAAACCCCTAGCCAGATTACGTCAAGAAAAATATTTCTTAAAATCCCCATGAAAACACTTTTTTTTATCAGCCACCATGGTATCTCTGTGTTGTGTCTGTGACATTGTGTAGTGTACCCATATAAGATTAAAATAACGGCATTTGTATGTATACATTTATTCAGTGTGGTCATTTAACTGAATGACACATTTAATCTAATTAATTTGAATTTATCTACTTACCCAGTATCATTTTACTTCAGAAGATGAAGCAGAATCACCAAATCAGTAGATATCTGAAAAAAAATCAGATTAGTATGTACATGTATATATTTTTATTCATTAATAAAAACCTAACAAACAGGGTAACCTTATAACATTTCCTAAATAAAATGTTGGCATAAATCTAAAATACAGAGAATTCTAAAGAGTTAGCTACTAACATGAAACCTGTAACAATTCTTGCAGTTTCAATTGATAAAAAGGGTCACAGTATTATACTACAGTATAATGTATTATTTGTACAGTATATGATTGCAACACTAGTTTCGTGTTGAAAGATGCCATGCTGTATGTGTTGTTTCAACAGATACCTTACACTCTGCCATGCTATCCAGGCACAATCTGGATTGTTAATGCTGAATTACAAGTGTTCCCTCTAAAGAAGCTACTGGGGTTTATTTACTAAAACCAGAGAGTGCAAAATCAGGCTCACTTCTGTATAGAAACCAATCTAACCTCAGTTTGTTCAATTAAGCTTTGGCGAAAAAAACCTGGAAGTTGATTGGTTTCTATGCAGAAGTGAATCTGATTCAGTTTTTGCACGCTCCACCTTTAGTAAATTAACCCCACTTTGTTCAATGTCTCTAAAACACAGGTGAAAGGCTTGCACCACAATCTACAAATGCAGGCCTCCAGACCCTTTGAAATAGCCTAAGCTAAATAGTCCAGAGCCATACCCTCACTAACAAAAGAGCCCTTTGAGGAAGTGGGGGAAAACTTTTTTTTTCTACAGACATTAGTACACAGAATCTTCACTTTCAATTCTTCTTCATCTACCAATTAAACCGCACCTCCTATAAACGTTAGAGATTTGAAAATAATTAGTAATCCTCCCAGTACTATAGAAGTACTTCAATACTGGCGAATGCCAGCCATGTGTTTTGGACCTGCCCCAAGGTGAAGTTTATTGGTAAACAATATTTGCTTTGCTGATGACAACTTTGGAGTTTAAAAATCCATTTATCCCAGAAATCTACTTGATAGTATGATAGTATCCTGCAAAACTAGATACCAATCGCCTACTCCAAATTGTTGCTAAGGCTGGCCATACATTATACAATTATCTGGAGATTTTTGGTTTAGATTTACAAAAACCATATAATAGGAGGACAAACCTAAACAACACTCTCAGTTGTATCCAATTAGGCAGGCCCTTGCACTACACAGTTGAAGGTAAATCTAAAGGAAATTGGGCAGAAAATTGGAAGATAATTGTATAATGTATGGCCAGCCTATGTCTGTTATTTTTACACCAGGAAAGGAACATTGCAATGGAAAGACTCAACTCCAGATTTCACCATATTTTTTCGCTCCATGAGACACACCTGACCATAAGACACACCCAGGTTTTAGAGGAGGAAAACAAGAAAAAAAATATTCTGAACCAATGGACTGCGGACATAGTACAGGAAATGACTAGAGACAGCAGACATAGTACAGGAGATGACCAGAGACTGCGGACATAGTACAGGAGATGACCACAGAGACTGCAGACAGTACAGGAGATGACCAGAGACTGCGGACACAGTACAGGAGATGACCAGAGACTGCGGACACAGTACAGGAAATGACTAGAGACTGCGGACACAGTACAGGAGATGACCAGAGACTGCGGACACAGTACAGGAAATGACTAGACAGCAGACATAGTACAGGAAATGACCAGAGACAGCAGACATAGTACAGGAGATGACTAGAGACAGCAGACATACAGTCAGGTCCATAAGTATTGGGACATCGACACAATTCTAACATTTTTGGCTCTATACACCACCACAATGGATTTGAAATGAAACAAATAAGATGTGCTTTAACTGCAGACTGTCAGCTTTAATTTGAGGGTATTTACATCCAAATCAGGTGAACGGTGTAGGAATTATAACAGTTTGCATATGTGCCTCCCACTTGTTAAGGAACCAAAAGTAATGGGACAGAATAATAATCATAAATCAAACTTTCACTTTTTAATACTTGGTTGCAAATCCTTTGCAGTCAATTATAGCCTGAAGTCTGGAACGCATAGACATTACCAGACGCTGGGTTTCATCCCTGGTGATGCTCTGCCAGGCCTCTACTGCAACTGTCTTCAGTTCCTGCTTGTTCTTGGGGCATTTTCCCTTCAGTTTTGTCTTCAGCAAGTGAAATGCATGCTCAATCGGATTCAGGTCAGGTGATTGACTTGGCCATTGCTTAACATTCCACTTCTTTCCCTTAAAAAACTCTTTGGTTGCTTTTGCAGTCTGCTTTGGGTCATTGTCCATCTGCACTGTGAAGCGGCGTCCAATGAGTTGTGAAGCATTTGGCTAAATGTGAGCAGATAATATTGCCCAAAACACTTCAGAATTCATCCTGCTGCTTTTGTCAGCAGTCACATCATCAATAAATACAAGAGAACCAGTTCCATTGGCAGCCATACATGCCCACGCCATGACACTACCACCACCATGCTTCACTGATGAGGTGGTATGCTTAGGATCATGAGCAGTTCGTTTCCTTCTCCATACTCTTCTTTTCCCATCACTCTGGTACAAGTTGATCTTGGTCTCATCTGTCCATTAGATGTTGTTCCAGAACTGTGAAGGCTTTTTTAGATGTCGTTTGGCAAACTCTAATCTGGCCTTCCTGTTTTTGAGGCTCACCAATAGTTTATATCTTGTGGTGAACCCTCTGTATTCCCTCTGTATTCACTCTGGTGAATTCTTCTCTTGATTGTTTACTTTGACACACATACACCTACCCTCCTGGAGAGTGTTATTGATCTGCCCAACTGTTGTGAAGGGTGTTTTCTTCACCAGGGAAAGAATTCTTCGGTCATCCACCACAGTTGGTTTCCGTGGTCTTCCGGGTCTTTTGGTGTTGCTGAGCTCACCGGTGCGTTCCTTCTTTTTAAGAATGTTCCAAACAGTTGTTGGCCACGCCTAATGTTTTTGCTATCTCTCTGATGGGTTTGTTTTGTTTTTTTCAGCCTAATGATGGCTTGCTTCACTGATAGTGACAGCTCTTTGGATCTCATCTTGAGAGTTGACAGCAACAGATTCCAAATGCAAATAGCACACTTGAAATGAATTCTGGACCTTTTATCTGCTCATTGTAATTGGGATAATGAGGTTATAACACACACATGGCCATGGAACAGCTGAGAAGCCAATTGTCCCATTACTTTTGGTCCCTTAACAAGTGGGAGGCACATATGCAAACTGTTGTAATTCCTACACTGTTCACCTGCTTTGGATGTAAATACCCTCAAATTAAACCTGACAGTCTGCAGTTAAAGCACATCTTGTTCGTTTCATTTCAAATCCATTGTGGTGGTGTGTATAGAGCCAAAAATGTTAGAATTGTGTCGATGTCCCAATATTTATGGACCTGACTGTAGTACAGGAGATGACCAGAGACTGCGGACATAGTACAGGAAATGACTAGAGACAGCAGACATAGTACAGGAGATGACCAGAGACTGCGGACATAGTACAGGAGATGACCAGAGACTCTGAACACAGTACAGGAAATGACTAGAGACTGCAGACATAGTACAGGAAATGACCAGAGACTGCGGACATGCTACAGGAGATGACCAGAGACTGCAGACATAGTACAGGAGATGGCCAGAGACTGCAGACATAGTACAGGAGATGACCAGAGACTGAGGACATAGTACAGGAGATGAAAAGAGACTGCGGACATAGTACACAGCAAATGACCAGAGACTGCAGACATAGTACAAGGGATGACCAGAGACTGCGGATATAGTACAGGAGATGACAAGAGACTGCGGACATAGTACAGGAAATGACCAGAGACTGCAGACATAGTACAGGAGATGACCAGAGACTGCCGATATAGTACAAGAGATGACCAGAGACTGCGGACACAGTACAGGAGATGACCAGAGACTGCGGACACAGTACAGGAGATGACCAGAGACTGCAGACATAGTACAGGAGATGACCAGAGACTGCCGATATAGTACAAGAGATGACCAGAGACTGCGGACACAGTACAGGAGATGACCAGAGACTGCGGACACAGTACAGGAGATGACCAGAGACTGCGGATATAGTACAGCAGATGACCAGAGACTGAGGATATAGTACAGGAGATATCAAGAGACTGCGGACATAGTACAGGAGATGACCAGAGACTGCGGACATAGTACAGGAGATGACCAGAGACTGCGGACATACTACAGGAGATGACCAGAGACTGCGGACATACTACAGGAAATGACCAGAGACTGCTGATATACTACAGGAGATGACCAGAGACTGCGGACACAGTACAGGAGATGACCAGAGACTGCGGACACAGTACAGGAGATGACCAGAGACTGCGGACATACCACGGGAGATGACCAGAGACTGCGGACATACTACAGGAGACGACCAGAGAACAGAGACCTTTGGGGAGTGAAAGGGGGGAGCAGGTACCCGCTCCCACTTCTGCGGAGTTAGCCTCCCTCCCCGTCTTCTGGGACACCTGACAGGTCCCAGAAGACTGCCGAACCATTCGGAAAGCGCATGCGCAGTAGGCACCTGGCTGTGAAGCCACAAGCTGTCACAGCTGGGTGCCCACACTAAAGATGCTGACACCAGGGAGAGAAGACGATGAGGACACCGCTGGACCGAGGAACAGGTAGGACCGAGGAGCAGGTTCTGCTGCACAGAAGAGCCAAGCTCCATATTGGCTCCATAAGACGCACAGACATTTTCTCCCATTTTTGGGGGAAAAAAAAAGTGCATCTTATGGAGCGAAAGATACGGTAACTCTTTCTGCACCATGATTAATGACATCCTACTTAGAGTGTTACTAAACCCAGGACCCTGCATTCACAATATCTGGTCTTCCACAGTACACAGAACATGGAAATGCAGTTATTTTAGTAACTATAAACTGCTAAATACTTTTTCTCATCAGCAGTTAGAGCAGTCTTGTGACTTCTATCACTGTCTGGCCGAGCACTGATTAACCTTGTAGGAGGAGTTTTTGTTCTCCTCTGACTGCCCTATGAGGCTGCATGACCATTGACCCTCTGTCTGGACAATGCTGATTGGCCCTGTGCTGATCACATGCTCCCTTTCAAAAAAAACTGTACTATCAGCAGACAGATTGGGGACTGTGGAAGAAGGGGAGGATCAGAGAAGATAGGATCAAACATCCTTTTTACACAATGCTGAGGATTGTGAGTCTAACAAACATGCTTTACTGCATATACAGATGGATTTTACTCTTGTGGGTTTAGAGGAAAGCAGAATATTCTGCAACATCAACCATTATGCAAAAAACTAGCCAATCATATTTATTTATGAATGGCCACTAATACATGCACAATGATGTAACATTAAAAGCAAATAGATGAATGCATGTCCCCAAAAGAAAAAGCTTTCCTCCTGATAAAGACTCCTGATTAAGAGTTGAAATGCGTTGAGGTTTCAAGTTGCCATCTGAAGATTTTGATAGATGGAACTTATAAAATGCAGATAACCATTGATGTATTTTGGTTATTTTCTTCTTTTCTATGTATGGTAATTGTTTTAAAATGTTGCGAATAAAGGTAAATATTTTTTATCTATATATTTTCTATGACTATTGGTACCTTTAAAGTCCCACTCCCTTGTCCCATTATTTTAGTAATTCTGGTTGACAGGAATATGGTACCATACTAATAATGGTGAGGATTCAGCACCAATGTTTTCTCTGCTTGTATTTTGTTATTTAATAAGTACAATCTAAAACTCCTTAAAACAGATGTCATATATCTTACATAGTAGTTTAGAGAGTATTGGAACATTCCACTGATCAGCTCAACGGGAAATTTGTCTACCCCTCCGTAGAGAATCATTTAATGCAGACGTTTGTAAAAATCAGATCTCAGGAAGATACATTTGTGTAAACTTTTTGGATAAAATGTACTTTCATAGTTAACCACTTGCCTTCCAGAGGATTTATCCCCGTCCTGACTAGGCCATTTTTTGCAATATGGCACTATGTTACTTTAACTGACAATTGCGCAGTCATGCAACGCTGCACCCAAATGAAATTTACGTTCCTTTTTTCCCACAAGTAAAGTTATCTTTCGGTGATATTTGATTGCCTCTGCGGTTTTTATTTTTTGCGCTATAAACAAAAAAAGACCAACAATTTTGAGAAAAAAAACAATATTTTGGAGTTTTTGCTATTAAACATGTCCAGTAAAGAAAAATTACTTTTTAAATAGTAATTAAAATTTTTTACTAGTAATAGCAGCAATCAGTGACTTATAGCGGGACTGCGGTGGGCATTCTGACACTAACAGTGCTAATAAAAACACTAAGGGCTCGTTCACACTTAGCTGTTTTACCAAAGTTTGCCAAATGCCCCTATAGCGTTTGGCAAGCGTTGGTCCGGCGTTTGCGGAGCATTTTTTAATGCTCAGCAAATGCTCTGTAAACGCCGCATACGCGGTTTAGCGGAAGTTGCTAGGCATTTGCCGAGCGTTAATAACGCCCCACAAATGCCTATAATGCAGTTTGAGTGGTGTTACCGCTCCGCAAGCGCCCTGCAACCGCGACGCAACCGCACCGCAAACGCCCGGCCGGCACCATAGAGGAGAATAGGAGGCTTCAATGCCTCCTGACTCGACCAGAGGCGTCCGTTTTGCCGCGACGCAAACGCTCCCGTTAGAACAGCACAATGTGCTGTAATGTGCAGAATTGGCAGAGGCGTTTGGGAAGCGGTAAAAAAACGCTTCCCAAATGCCTCTCTGCCGCCTGCACACAACGCTAGTGTAAACGTAGCCTAACACTGTGCTAATCGCACTGGGCAGGAAGGGGTTAACATTGGGGGCAATCAAAGTTAACTGTGTGCTGTGTCACTATGTCTGTGAATGTGCTTCCCTGTAAGCACACTTCTTTTTGTTTATACACAGGTCTCTCCCCCGTCAGAGATACCAGTGATTGACAGCCTAGGCCATCAATGGTGGCGCGAGTAGGGCGCGTGCGCATGTGCCCCCTACCCGGAACTGCAACATAACGTATATACACATGATTTTGCGTGCCTGTGCCGCCCTGTAGCAGTATTTCTGCTATAGGGTGGCATGGAACTGGTTAAAGTGGCATTTGTACATTTATTAGGTTATAGCGGAGTTCCAACTGAAAAAAAAAATACAGTCACTTACCTGTCCCACAATCCAGTGGTGTCCTCACCACTTTTACCGGCCGGCCGTCTTCTCTCCCTGGCGCCCGCATCTTCACAGCCAGGTGCCCACTACGTATGCGCGAGAAGCGCTGTGCTTTGTGATTGGCCCCGTAGTTTTCTGGGACCTGTCACGTGTCCCAGAAAACTACAGGGAGGGAGGGGGAAGTCAAATTTGGGTACTCACTCCCCCCCCCTCACTCCCAAAAGGTGCCAATCCTTAATGGGGAGTGAGGGGGGACAAAGACTTAAAGTGGAACTTCCCCTTTTGGGTGGAGCTCTGCTTTAAGGAAAACAGTTCTAACACTGTGTTAATACACCACAATGAATAATTGAGTCAATAAAATGATTCAAATATATGTAAATCTTCACCTTGCAAAACAACCCATTCCATTTAAAATAGAAATGTAAGGCAAAACATTTCTGCATAGATAAAAAAAACAATTATAAACACTTTATTTCCCTTTTTTTTATAAGTGATCACATTTTGTCCCAACTGCTTAGAGAGCTTGTGGAGGAGAAACAGCAGAACACTGATGTTCTGAGTGAAAGGCTGTAGGGGGGGTGCCAGGATAAGTCTGATCATTGTAGGAGAGGAGGCTGAGTTCCCCAGCACAGCTAGAGAACTAACCAATGCATGTTCTCCTGCTTAAGCTAGCCATAGACAGTTTGTATCTCGGCTGCTTCAGCAGGGACCAGCCAAGATTCAAACCATGTATGGGCAGGCTGAATGATCAGTCAATCAAATTGAGTACAACCAGCCTGTCGAATTTTGCATTCAATTATTGCTAGCAGGTATCATAGAACACAATGGCTCCATGAGAGGGATTCCCCCATCAACATTGACTGTGTGAAATCATGCAATTTTAGAAAATCGCTCTGTCTATGGCTGGTTTTAGTATGGTCACTTTTTATTAGGAAAGCAGAGTAAAATCAGGGATTTCACACAAAGGAAGCAATACAAAGAGAACAGGATATTTTTCATACAAGTAAATGGTACAGCAGGCACATATCAGGAATATGAAATGTTGGGTTTACGTACTCTTTAAGAAAAAAAAACAAAAAAAAAATACAGGACCACAGACATAAAAAATGCTGCACTAAGAAATTCCCTTTTGAATCTTCTAATAGTTTCCACAACAAATCTCCTACATATTAGTTAATTTAAAAATTCTGTGATACAGATCTAATAAGCTTGTTAATACAATGTAACCTGTAGGATAACAAATAAAACTGAGGGCACACTGGCTTGGTGCGTTATCCTTAAAATATGGCTTTATTGTGTAAAAAAGGTAAGTATTATACTTACAAAATCAGCTAAAAAATACAAGCCCTGAGCTCTGAGGAAGAGGCTAAGTCCTCGAAACGCGTCAACCTGTTGAGATTCCATCGTTCTGTTATGCTATGATGCATTGTGGATGGAACTCTGCTGTTTCCATGCGATGAGCTTGTATTTTTAGCTGATTTTTTCAATGTAATACTTACCTTTTTTACACAATAAAGCCATGTTTAAAGGGTAATGCACTATTGTGCACTATTTTGCCCTCTGTTTTGTTTGTTATTGCAGTATCTCTAGACTTCCCCAGTCTTGTGAGGGCAGCAAGGTGAGAGCATCCTATGAGAGCCAGGATATGATTGCAGCCTACTGCCATTTTTTTGGGCCCACTATCCAAGCACAGGAGTTCTTTGTAACCCATAGGATACATAGTTGTTTGAGAAGCATTACAGTGATTAAAAAAAGGTGGAGGAGGTGGAAAGCAAGGTGCATTTTGTTTAGCCTATTGCTTCCACCCAAAAACATAACTTTCATTCTTCACAGAAGTTGTCTGGGTCTTTGAGCACAGTAACCTTTTTTAACCACTTGCCTACCAGGCACTTATACCCCCTTCCTTACCAAGCCAATTTTCAGCTTTCAGCGCTGCCGCACTTTGATTGACAATTGCGCGGTCATGCAACATTGTACCCATATGAAATTTTGATCATTTTTTTCTCACAAATAGAGCTTTCTTTTGGTGGTATTTAATCGCCACTGGGCGCTTTACTTTTTGCGCTATAAATTAAAAAAGTGCAAAAAATTTGAAAAAAAAAAAAAAAGTTTATTTGTTTCTTTTATAAAATTTTTCAAACAGGTATTTTTTCTCCTTCACTGATTTGCGTTGATGAGGC